GCAGGGAACGCTCACCGTTGGCCAGCGCATGGAAATAAAATTCCCAAACTGATAACCGTAGGTACTTCTTAGTTATGAAAATGCGCTTCGTAGTTTTACGCCACTCAGAGCGAACCTCGGCATTGTCTTGGGAAAGCTGCGGCGTTAAAATATTTTTTGGATGTGTAGACAGAGTTGATGTAAAACCTTTATTTTCCTTATCGGCACGAAGTTCATTTAGACGGGCACTGCCAATTAGAAGCAGTAATAGTTTAAACCTATCATCCATTACTAAAGTCTTTCATTTCAAATCGCATGACATACACAGACAATCACTCAACCATAATTACCTGTGCTCCTCGCATCTCGAAAGAATTACAGAAATTTTCCACGGTATTATTAGCCAATCCAATTTGATAGGCCTGGAACGATTCAGCTACACTACGTTCTGTAAACTCCAAACTGCGCCATGATTCCGTCAGTGGATCGTATTTTATTTATACTGGCTCTGTTCTGTACTATTCTAGGCCTTGTCGCAATATTCACTGCTCTCTCAACTCCTGCATGGCAGGTGAGGTTTTGTATCACAACGATTGTATGCTGATCGCTCTGCCGTGAAGCTTTTGATGAATGTTTGTGCTTAAAATGGGTGTTTATCGCATAATGTCCGGACGCGTAAGGATAATTTTCCAGAAGATAGAGTGGTTTTGACATATTTGCATGTAATTTATCTTTGATATCTTAAAATTTTTCAATAATATTTTCTTTAATATTAAACTGAATAAGAAAAAGGTATGTAGGCACTCAGTGGGATCAGAGAGCGACAAATGAAGAGCTTTTAAGAGAAATTGTGCTTGGCATCGTTCGTTGCAGTCAGCCTCAATGCATCTCAAGCTTGATTTGTCGAAGTTATCCGACTTCTTAATAGTCTGATAAAGCAAGTGATAAGTTATTACAAATCGCGCTGTTTTTCAAGTTTTAGGTCGCATATGTGAGAGAGATGCAACAATGGCTGCAGAGTGGTCTTTGGATGTCGTGTAAAACAAGGTACTAGTTTTCATTTCAATGATGCTAAAACGCGCCACATTCACTAGGGAATTGGAATTAAGCTAAATTATTTATGTTTTGCATTTCCTTAGCGATAGCAAATTCAGTCGACAGAGCATATCCATAAAATATATTTTACAGAAAGTATTGACTGGAAATCATAGAAAAGAGATAGTCAGCTTGACTGAAAGTCATTGACTTGGAGTTCTCTATAGTTTAAAGTTTCATTAACTATTAATTATTCAAATAATGTTTCTAGGCCGTCAGGAATGCACGTGTGCTCTTATGCGTTCGCGGATGAGAGCAGTCTTCCCATAAGTGATGACATGATAAACATTCGGGCGCCAATATTTTACAGTGCGTTTTTGTTATGCGTTTTTATTACATGTGAGATGCAGGTGGTCATAGCGTAAAGACGTCGCCTACCTTGAAAACTGTCAAGCAAAAAAGAGAATAGTTTTATGTTTAATTATGATTTGCCACAATTACATTAAGTCTGCAAACATAGCTTGCCTGGATTCAAACTTCTGGCTTTGACGAGCGACAGTCAAATCGAGCGTAACACTTTCAGCCGCAAAATCATTCTTCCCATCTATGAATTCAGATTCAATTTTCAGCATGGCAAAGAACCTTGCTACACGTTTTCCTGTTGGCTCAGCTTTGCGCCCTGTTGGCTTTGCTATCGTTAATGTTCTCTCGTAGTTTCAATCTGAAAAAGTTTGCACATGCAGCATTTATTGGATTCTTAGCGCTTGCAGGTAATAATAAGAGCCCAGGGCAAACTCCGAACAAACGTTAAAATTTCAGCCTTGATATCCGTTTGTTGTAGTGTATCTTTTATTATTTTGTCGCGGATGGTCGAATATCGGTTTCATCACGTTTCAGTTAGCGGAATATATGAAGTAGGTTCTAGCAGATATTTTCCTTGGCATTAGCGAAACTGGCTTG